ATACTGTTTGATAACTTTACAATATATAGTTCTAAAAGTCTCCAGGCTATTACAGTGGTAACGTGTCGGCTTCTCATCCGAGGGGTCGTCGGTTCGCGCCCCGCCCAGAAGTTGCAATTGTCGCCTAGGGGTTACTGCTGTGGCTGGGCACCACGGCGGGTAAGAACAAAGCTGAGTCAGCACCAGCTGACACACTGAGAGCGAGTCGACAATAGTCGACACAGGCCGGGCTCCCTCATAGCCCGTGCGAGGCTCAGCTTCGCATATCGAACTTATCCTTATAGTTCTAAAAACATTTTTATTAAAAGAGATCCATCCACATATATACACACTCCATGGTAACGAGGGGGAGGGCAGGAAGTTCTGGTCAGCAGAGGTCATGGCGAGCGAATCCCGGAATGGGATTTCTCTTCTGAACAGAGATAAGTGGTCGTGGAGTGTTGTCATGAGGGTATTTGGAGACAGTTGTGTCTTTTTAATAGAGCCAGTGGTTTAGATAAGACTGGTGCTTCTTTTTTACTCAGAAGTCATTGTTAAGGCTTTTAAGTTCGTGTTATATTTCGTTGTTTTACTTTATTTTATTTCGTTGTGGTTTGCTTGTGTTCGTTTTACGTATTTGTCTTACTGATTTTAAGCTATAATTTCGCGGTTTAGGTTTACTTGTTTTACTTGTGTTTTACTTGTGTTTTACTTGTTTTACTTGTTTACTCGTCTTACTTGTGCTTTAGTTTTTTATCGTTTGTCTTAAGAAATATTTTACTGCATTTGATTAATTCGCATGCTGTCCATACCCTCCGACACTTGTAACGAAGGGCATAAGATCTAACGGACCTGTTAAAGGTGTAGTGAACATGACTACATGTTCACTAGAGCAACGCTAAATCGTATACTATCTGCGTTGAGGGGCAGTTCAAATTGTGTACGCGCGTTTCTGGCCTTCGTACGCCTGGCTATCTGCGCCGAATCGTAGCACTTTGATGCGAAATCAGGGGGCTGATGGTCTGCAGGAATTGCCTTTCTCAGCTGACTATCCTTTTTTCCAATGTGAGGTTTCATAAGATGCAATACGTCATCATAAAAACACCTCCGTGGTCGAAATTTGTAAAACCCGCGACCGTCCTCCAGTGGCTGTTCCTACACTAGGATAATTATGGCACAACTCCTTTCTTTTCCTTCCAGGCCTTAAGCCATGATTAATTTGGTATTCTTTCCTCATTCCTCACAAAATTAAAATCTGCAATACACAAAACTACGGCGACATAAGGGAAATACTTTTGCGCGCGGCTAAAAGATTTGTTATTGTTAACAATATCCATCATCTACCAGTTTGTGTATGTGATGAAAACATATTAAATGAAAACCACGAAAAAAAACATATTCAGAATTCATATTGAGAAAGCTATCCTTGCAGTGTGGATGCCATTGTTGTCATGAACCTATATTTCATGCCATATGCCTCTTTACTTTTAAACATGGCATTATACGTATAGAATTATACATCTTAGACCTGGAGATATATTACTACACTACAGGTAAGCTACTAATTTTCTTTAAGTTATTATAATGCATCACTCATCATAAAAAAATTATTGATAGTAGTTGCCCCACCCCCCATCAACTTTTCCGATAATCTGGGGGTGCGGGGATGAGAAACACATCCTCGTAAAATATCTTGTAATAGGGGTTGTAAAAGCTGTAACCATTGATATAAGAAACCGCATAATATTCTATTAATACAAAGCCATCGCCTACTGGTAAGGAAATAAAATAAATTTTATTATTATTAACTTCACCTCTCATAAACAATGCAGCATAAAAAAATATATAAATATTACGAGAGAATGCCATTCAAAAAGTCTTGTATTGTTTCACATATATAACCGAGATTTGCAGATATCTTATATCTGCTTATCTACTTGTATCAATATATATACCCATATATATTCATATATGTAGTTGCATCTTTATTTTATCTATATCTATCTATATATACATATCTATATCATAACTATCTTTATATATAAAATTATATATACAATATTCATACGTGTATATATACTATATATACATGCAAACACACACACACACACACACGCACGCACACACACACACACACACACACACACACACACACACACACACACACACACACACACACACGCATATATATATATATATATGGAGAGAGACACACAGATAGACAGAAACAGACATACAGACCAACAGACAAGAAATCGATGTTAAAATCCCTGCTCGCGGAACACAAAAATTCAAGCCGTAGCTGAACCGAATGCGCACAACCACTGCACAGGTAAAACACAGTTGCCAAAAATCCAAATGGCTATATTTTAATGACTTGACATTGGAGTATCTTGAAGAGCATGTAAAGTTCCGTGTCTATGAAGATGCGACTGATAAGAGAGATGTATCGTTGCATCTCACTTCCTGAACATGAAATAGTCATAATGGGACATACGTAACGTACTTATTCTGTTGAGCGAATTAACAGAAGGGAAGTTATCAATGTCCAAATGGCCGACGGGGACGTAGCCCTCGGCAGCCTTCATCAGCGTAAGGATCCGAGTCACCAGCTCTCCATACCCGCGACTCCGATACCCTTCCAAAGCCATCATGGTACCCATCGCCCCGTAGAAGGAAGTTGTGATCCAAGCTACAGGTACCTCCTCGTCTCTAGCGAAGGGGAGGTTCTCGATGTTGACGGTGGTTTCCTTCTTCACGCTCGGGTCTTCATATAGGCCTACTGAAGGGGCGTGCTTCGTGATGTAAACCATGTCGTCGAGAGTCCTGCAGATGTCGTACTCCGCTGTGTTCCTCATGATGCTGACTCCAGCCCTACCCAGCCTTGCTACCCGGATCCCAGCTGGGCACCTTTAAGGGTAAATGTTGCAACAAGAGATTAACATTTTTTTTCTAGATTGTACAGCACGTTGATGCATTAAAAACTTGGGTTTATGAATTTATTTATTAATAATGAACAGTACATTCTGTCCCATAATGTAGCCCATTCTCCTCCCCTGTATATTATGATGGTGTTTTTGCTTCCGACTAAGCATGTGTGAGTCATTCGCGTACTTACCGGATGGGATTCTTCGCTAGGTAAGCATGAGGATCTCCAATATCATCACCAGTATATGTGTAGCATTTATTGATTGTCAGTTCCTGTCCTTCCTTATCCTTCACGACGTCCTTCACGGTGTCCACCAGATACTCAGGGACGTGGAAAACGCACAGCCTTCCCTGCCAGTCGATCAAGTGCGACTGCATCAGGGACTCCTTCAGCAGAGGAACCTCCTCCTCCCGACAATGGACGGCGAGTAAGGTATTCCTCGGTTGCTGAAAAAAACACCAAATAATCTATGGTTGAAATCGTTCTGGCAACCTAACGACCTACCCGTTACGTTATCGTTTTATCACCGTCGCTCTTGCTATAACCATAATAGCATTGATAATGAATAAGACGCTTCATTTACAAAACACAGAGTGAGGATCCAGATGCTCACCAAATATCGCCACATAACAACATGGGAATCCGGATGATATCTCAGGGTGTAGAAAGTGCATTCCCGAGCGCGACCTCGACCATGGAGCAGAAGGCTGTTGTGGATCTGTAGAATAAAGACCTAGATAACTGGGGCGCATAGATAAGGCAAAAAGAGTGATAATGACAAGTATGATAAGTATATCTAGAAAACTCACAAAGTCCTAATATATATATATATATTATATATATATATATATATATATATATATATATATATATATATATATATATATATATATATATATATATATATATATATATATATATATATATATATATATATATATATATATATATATATATATATATATATATATATATATATATATATATATATATATATATATATATATATGCATATGTGTGTGTGTGTGTGTGTGTGTGTGTGTGTGTGTGTGTGTGTGTGTGTGTGTGTGTGTGTGTGTGTGTGTGTGTGTGTGTGTGCATATAGACATGACATATACATATAAATGTACATATGTGTACATATATATGTATATATAAATACATATATAGATATATAAATATATGTATATATATGTATATATATATATATATATATATATATATATATATATATATATATATATATATATATATATATGTATACATACATACATAAAGAGAAAAATATATATTCCATATTATAACCACAATAACAAAAATATAAGAACCATGCTAAAAATGACTAAATAAAGGCATAAATTATAAATCAGACATACAGCTTGACACACTCCCATGCACATACAGGGTCATATCTGAGTAACATCCATGCACTGACATCCGCTGTTATGTCCACACCATGAAATGAATTACACTGTTTATGATACTATAATACAGGAGGGGGAGTCAGGCTGTGTCTAACTATATTGCATATCAACTTTTTATGTTTGAAAGCAGTATTCAGTGCAACATTTAATTAATTCTGCAGTAATTTCCATCCATTTGAGGTCTGTTGCAGCTGAGAGCAATGTCATTTATCAGAAATTATTCATGACAGTTGTTTGAAGTTGACAACAATTTTGAGCTTGTTACACTATCTGCCCAAAGCCTTAAAGAATGCGGGTTTGTAGGTAGTTGGTAATCATTACATATTTTGAGCCTAACAGATAGGGAAATCGTCTTAAATCTCTTTCTCTTTCTCCTTCTCTCTCTCTCTCTCTTTCGCACGCACACAAACACTTACGGAATTCGCGAAGGGCGAATTCCCCTTGATTCTGTGGGCGAGATCGACCATTCCTTCCGTGACGAGAGTGAATGGGTCTTCCTTCTGCCCCCAGTGTAGGCAGCGCCGGTCCCGCCTCGTGCAGAGACCGACAACGGCCTTAGTCTGAAATTATAATTATTGTTATCAGTCTGTTATTTTACCAGCCTATTTCTGATGGGATGACTCACCAGATGCTGATATTCTGGCCTCTCGAACTCCCATAGATGTGAGTTTATTTATAGTGTTTTTTTAAGAATGCTGTAAAGGGGGCTGTAAATTGGTTTTTCTTTGTAAAAACACCGATCTTTACCATCACAGACAAATCGCTTATTTACTCTTAACAAGCATCATATCTAAAGATTATATCATTTTGGCTCAAACCAGATTTTATCATAATTTATGAATACTATTATGAAATGTAACATATGAATATCAACAAAGATGAATGTGGGAAACACCATACATACACGATTAAATTTCAGAGGTTTTATAGTCTTACGTATAAATGTATTTTTAAAAAATCGATCAGCAATTTCGTTCTTTAACAAGAAAAAATCCGACCCTATACATACACTGTTGAAAAGCCGCTGTAGACAACGTAGCTTCACGATCTGTATCTGCATTTTTTATCTCACTTATAATTCAAAAGTTTAATTCAGTTCTCGGCTGAGGAACAGAATCTAGAAGGAAGCGAAGGGAATATTATGGCTCGTGCTAACGTGCGTGGCGTGTATATATAGCCATACGGTTTTCTTATCGTATTTCCGGTGAAGATAGTGCTTATCAAGCATTACTCTTTCAACGAAGATAATGGTTTTATATTGATATACAAAACATATACATACATACATGTATGCACACACACACAGCCCAGTACATCTGACTTAGGATCTGAATTGCTAAATCAATTTCCACGGTGTGTGTAAAACTTTGCTATAATTACTCTAGTATGGGTAGGTAGGTATGTCTATCCCAGGAGTGACCTTGGTTCGAGTCCTGGCCAGGGAGGGTTATTTGTATGTAATATATATATGTACATATGTACATATGTACATATGTACATATGTACATATGTACGTACATATGTACATATGTACATATGTACATATGTACATATGTACATATGTACATATGTACATATGTACATATGTACATATGTACATATGTACATATGTACATATGTACATATGTACATATGTACATATGTACATATGTACATATGTACATATATATATATATATATACATATATATATATATATGTTTACATATTTATACATGTGTATGTCTATATATTCATATGTGCGTGTATATATGTATATACATTTAAATACACGTTTATATACATTGGCGGGCATGATCGGCGGACACAAGGGTGGGCACGAAGACATGACGTCACAAGCGGACAAACTACTTGGTAAATAAGTAGTTTCCTCATTTTCTTGCTTCCGACGTCACCTTTACAGTCGTCTGCCGATGAGCCGACCTTTACAATGCCCTATTTATGGAAACCTCATATGAAACTTGGATTTTATTTATTATTTACTTATTGGAAACTTTTCTGTTGCGTCATCATCTAAGACCATCCGCGGCGTATACAGAATATGGCGATATGATAGGATCTAAGGGTAAATTCCCCAGGTGATTTTGTCTTTGTTTTTTGTTTGTTTTTGTTCACGTAAGGCAATGTTTGTGGAATTCCAGAATGGCCATTGGTCGAAAGAAAGAAATGTGTCAGACATCAGAGGGTACCCAGCATCATGGTAGAGTATTGTGGTGAAAAAAGGTAAATAGGAGTTTACGATCTCGATAAGTGGACAGAAGAAGAGGATGAAGAAGAGGAGGAAGAAGAGAATGAATAAGAGGAGGAGGAGGATGATGAAGAGAAGGAAAGGGAAAGAGGGAGAAGAAAAGCCCCTGCAAACTTAGTTGAAGCGAGGGCTGAAGTCCAAGGTAGTCTCCACCTCCTAAGCCTCCCCCCCCCTTCATGACAACAAGCAGCGAGAGGGGGGGGGGGAGATTTGCCCTTTAAATAGATTTGTTTGGACTGTACTGGAAAGCAGCTTATTACACTGTTATGAACGTGTATAATGGTTGATTTTTTTTTCTTCTGTCACGTCATCTAATGTCATTTATCGAAAAGGGTAAAAAGAAATTAGCGATTAGGATAAGTGGACAGAAGGGGATGAAGAACAGAAGGAAAAGGAAAGTATGGGGGGGGGAGACCCTGTAAAATAAGTAGAGGCGAAGGCAGGGATCCAAGGCAGGGTGATCCCCTACAGCGAGCCTCAATCTCCTATGCCCTCCCACGGTAACAAAGAACAAGGGATTTGAATGGGTTTTCTGAAAATGCTTACATCTCGTATTACTGATACTGTATTTCTTTATCTCCATCTGTAGTGTATATCGATTCGTTCTCATCCATTATCTCAACACACGTCTCGGTAAGCCTTTTATCTCGTGTGCGTCATTTTTTTTATCATGTTATTGACATTGCCAAATAAGCATTTCCGGAGAGACTATCTCACACTGACACAGACACACACACACACACACACACACACACACACACACATACATACATACATACATACATACACACACACACAACACAGAAAACACAAACAAAGAACTTTACACGAAGGTTTAAAAAAAAGGGGAAAAGTTGTTTTGATTACACATTTTCTTTATAAATAAACAATTCCGGAGTGTCGCGCACCCCACGCAGTTCAGATATCGACTAAGAATTTCGTGTACAGTGGGCGCCGTGTGGTCGAAACGAGGCTGTAGTTCAGGGAGTTTAGGCCGTCACTCTTGTAAGCGGCTGTGGTTTGGGCCATCAGTTCGTACCGTACCTGTCGAGAACACGTTTGGATTAGAAACCGACAGAAAAAATACGAATTGGGCCATCAGTTCTTTCCTGTCGAGAACGCGTTTGGATTAGAAACCGACAGAAAAAAAAAAACAAATTGGGCCATCTCGTCTAGCAATCTTGCTAAGCTGCGTTCAAATCCCTCGCCGCCAGTGGATGGTAACCCCGGCCATTCCTTGCACACTTAGGAGTAATTTAAAAGAAAAAGAAAACAGGCAGTCTGTCACCCTAAGAATATCGATTGCAATAAATAGAATAAAACTGAATTATTACTACTACTATTATTATTACTATTATTACTATTATTACTATTATTATTATTACTATTATTATTATTACTATTATTATTATTACCATTATTATTATTACTATTATTATTATTACTATTATTATTATTACTATTATTATTATTACTATTATTATTATTATTATTATTATTATTATTATTATTATCTCATTATTATTATTATTTCATTATTATTATTATTATTATTATTATTATTAATTATTTGTACCTGACAAGAACGTGTTTTTTTTGTTAGAAACTGGTAGAAAGGTAGAAAGTTTGGGCCATTAATTGTGTATTGAATGTAAACCTGTAGAAACAGAAATTTTAATAAGAACCCATGAGCGGATTTATTTTCTCTTAAGGAAAAAATATAACAAAATATCGTTTACTTTTTCTTATAACTCTAAACCATAGAAATTAAAGAGCTTCTCTGAATATAGTAAAGCCAAGTAAATAGAAGATACATAAAGAAAAGCATTGGGACGATAAAATAGATAAAAAATGGAGTTCCTTCATCTAAAGTTATGAAGAATTAGAATCAAATATATTCTAATTAATGCAAAACAAAGATGAAATAAACACACTCTTTACTCTTTCTCATATTTACCCTACCCCTTTTTCATTCTCTCTTTCCCTCTTTCTCTTTCTCCCCCTCCCCCCCCCCTTCGTCTCTCCTTCCCCTTCCCTACCTCCCTCCTTCTCCCCTTCCTCACTCCCACCTCCCCTCCTCCCTCCCTCCCTCCCTACTTCCCCTCCACATCCCTATCCCCCCCCATCCCTCCTTTCCCCCCTTCCCACCCCCTCTCCTCCACCACCCAACATACCTCCTCGAATTCAGCGGCGCCTTCGTGTGGTTCAACATGGTGTATGTGGCTATGTGGTCCGGGTAGCGCCTGACCTCCATTCCCTCGGCGTGGATGCGTTCCCACATGTCGTCGTCCTCTCCACCCCAGCCGTAGTAGAGGTTGCTCCACCCGTTCACCCGCTCCACCTGCCACCCACTCATGAGACTCGCGCCGCCGAAGCAGGTCGGGTAGAAGAGTCTGTATAGGGAGGGGAGTGAGGGGGGAGGGGAGTGAGGGGGGTGGGGAGTGGGAGTGGAAGGGAGTGGGGAGTGGATGGGAGGGGGGAAGGGAGTGAGGAGGGGAGGGGAGGGGGATGGTGGAAGGGAGTGAGGGGGGAGAGGGGAGGGAAGAAGGGAGTGAGTGGGGGAGGGTGGAAGGGAGGGGAGGGAAGGAGAAGAGAGGGGTAGGGCAGAAGGGGGTGAGGCAGGGAAGGGGGGAGTGGAGGAAGGGGAAGGGAGGGGTAGGGTAGTAGAAGGTGAGGCAGGGAAGGGGGGAAGGGGAAGGAAGGGTGGAAGAGTGAGGAAGGGAAAGGGGCAAAAGGGTGAGAGAGGGAAAGCGGATAAGGGAAGGAAAAGGGTACAGATAAACAAGGAATAAGGGTGGGAAGAGGGAGAGCAGATAGAAATATTCAGAAAATAGGAAACTGGGAATAGTAACGAACACTAATATTAATAATACCAAAAAAGTAAATTCCACGAATCTTTAGTATGCACCAATCAGGCTCATAATGGTAATGAGAATGATAAAAATAATAATAACTATTATTATTACTGTGCCAATAGTACTAATATTGATGATAATGATGGGAGGTGATATGGATAATCTCTATAATACTAACAAAATACTATTCTACTGCTTCAACTATTACTACTATTACGCCTACTTGAATATAATAATAATAATGATGATAATAAAATATAATATTGATAATAAAATACAATAATAATGATAATATAATATAGTAATAATATTATAATATAATAATAATGATAATAAAATATAATAATGATAATGCTGATACAAGATACTTATAATAACGATGAGGTTCATAATAATCCTATCAACAACTATAACAAGATGACCCGCAGCCCCATTGCTACCATAAGGATTACCACCCTTACCGCAAGTGATACGAATGCGACGCTAAAGCCATGATTTCGGCGTTGATTGGAGTTAGCAATCACTGATTACCTGCATATCATGATTTCTAAAAAAAAAATCATAGAAATTTGTAATACAAGTAACATATTTGCACATTTTAACCGAAGCGCAGAACATTGTCATAGTTAATGAACAAGTTACATTCTTAATCCGAAGCCAAGGCTCCATCATCGCATTCGCACGGTTTGCGGTAATGGCGGTAAAACAGAGGTCCGAAACCACCGCCAAAAGAGCCTACTTGTAATTAAATTTGTCCGGACCGACGGCCAGGTGTCTTGGCTGACTGCTGCAGTAGTAGAGATTCCTGTCGTCTTCGGGAATGCAATCTACGTCGTGGAAAGCATAGCAGTCCCACGGCCCGTGTGCTTGCGCGTGCTTGTACCCGATGTTCAGGAGCTTCGCCTTGTTGAAGATTTTGTTAGCTGTGGAGGGAGAGCTGGGTAAAGGGGAGGGAGTGCTGGGTAGAGGGGAGGGAGAGCTGGGTAGAGGGGAGGGAGAGCTGGGTAGAGGGGAGGGAGAGCTGGGTAGAGGGGA